GGCAGTTTCCTCGCCGTTTATGACCAATCATACAGCTAATAGGGATAGGTAAAACCCCACGCTATTGTGTCTTCTGTAGTATATCTATCAACACTATTGTGTCCCCAGGGGCACGGGTGCGATCGTCGAGCACAACGCCAGCGGCAGCCGCACACAGGTCGCCGCCGGAAGTAGCGGCCGCAGTGCCGCCAGCGACATCGGCAGCAGGGTCTCGGACACGATGGAGGTGACCGTGGCCTTGGAGGACGCGGTCAGGGGCGTCTCCGCCGACATGGACACGGACACGGACGCGATGGTGGCGGGGGACTCGGGCAGCAAGCATAACGGCGGTCGCAGCGCCGTGTGTGCGCCGGCAACATCATGACCACGGACGCTTGGGCGTGACCGTTGTCGTGCTGGAGGTGGTCGTGGGTGCCTCCACTGGCACGGAGGTTGGCAAGGATGTGACCGGTGACCAGACCGCGTGCGCAAATGCATCGACAGTGCGGAAGGAGACCGTTGTAGAGGTGCCAGCAGTACCGTCAGCGGCATCAACAGCATGACGTCCTTTGTAGAGATCGTGTCCGTACGGGAGGAGATCGGAGGCAACTTCGTCAGCATGGAGTCGGACGCAATGGTAGCGGGCGACTCGGGCAGCGAGGGCAGCGGCCGTGGCAGCGCCGTCAGCAGCATGACCTCAGATGTGGTGGTGGCGAACGTGGCCGTGCTGGATGTGGTCTGAGGCGTCTTCGCTGACATATACACAGTTGGGAGTTATTGTTCGGCTTGGAGGCGCGTGGAATTTCTAATAGCATCCTGTCGGATTATACGCAGCGGAGTGTGGTTAGCTTGCCGCTATGGTGCACCAGTGGTAAAGCAGTATGTTGTCAGCCACGAGCTAAATCCGCATTTACGGCATCAAGACTAGCGGGGGCAGATGGAATAGGTGTGACTTAGTGCAGTGAAGTATAAATGGTTAGTTGACTTTGACTATCTTGAAAAAATGATGTGAGGTTACGCCTTGGTGGCTGCGTTAGCCTTCTTTTGGTCTTGGCGGGCCTTCAGAAATGGACGGTTAGCTACATAAATTGGAGAGGTTCGTCGCAAGTTGCCGTCGACAGTGTACACTTGCTTCGGCAAGTAAAACAAATGGTATTTCTGCCAGCAAGTCCAAGTTTGCTGTTGGCACAGATGCTGCTTCGTAGGGTCAACAGGGTATGTGCGCTTGCACAACGCAACTCGATGGGTCTCGCAGTAGTCGGTTTTCTCGGTAGGATCTCTGCCCTCGAACTTGCACACAGTGCATTTCCGCATTGAGCGACTCCTTCCCTGAAGCACCTCCGAGGACGCTCTTGCAACACATGTTTGTGCGTGATCGCCCGAAGACTCGGATACATCTGTCGATGCCGCGGTTTGGGTCGTCATCGGCATTGTTGTCGTTGTCGGCTTTGCAGCATACATCATTCCATGTTCCCTATCCAGAGATTTCTTCCAGTCCCCATTGAACAGTTCTCGAACCAGTGATGCCACAAATGCGCGATGACTATCGCGGGCCCTTGACCTCGTTTGGGCTGTACCTCCCGTCGAACGAGACTCCTCGCTCTCACCACGCGCCAAACTATCGCAAATGTAGGCATTGCACCTGGCTATATCAAGCATGACCATCGCTAGTTTTTTATGCCACTTCTGAAATGAGTGGCCATCGGCTAGAGAAAATCGTGCACGCAGTTGGTCGAGCCGATCAACACCTTGCATCGCTGAATTATACTCGCCGACGCAAGTAGGAGCAGTGAAAGCCACACCCGATTCATTTATACGACGATGCACAGTTGATGTGGTCGAAGCATCGGCATTAGACACGACATTGACAATTGAGCCATCCACCCAACTAGCTGCGACAATATGCTTCTCTAAGCATACACCTTGCTTCATGTAGCCTCGCGGCTTCGCGTCCTCCTTAAGAATCATCGTAAAATGAGGGAAATGCTTGCTAGATGTGCGTACAGTGCCACGACCATAGAGACCAATCGATCGTAAAGTCTTCAACAGCAAACAGGAAGTGTAGAAGTTGTCCGTGTTTACAATGCGACTGGATCCTTTCAAAGATGAAGTAACCGCCATGACGTGAGAGCGGATTTCAGACGACTTCGCGGTTAGATCAGCGAATTTCTGCACTTCTGAGCGTGAAATTACACCGTCCAGCCGATCATCGAGTTCACTGGAGCAGTGCAACTTGAAACTCACCGCGTACCACGAGGTAGAACAGCAACACACGTATAACTTGAAATGATACTTTCCGGTGGGTTTTTGTGGGTTGAAGACTATAATGTGGCGGGCGTACTGGGATCGGCAGGCAATTGTGGCCTCATCAACAGCCACGTTTCGACCGACTTCAACATGGCGCAGGCATCGCGATTTCAGAATGCTCATGAGTGGTCGTATTCTAGCTACAGGACCGCGCTTGATGTCGGAGGTAGACACCTTGGAACGAAAACTCAAATTCTTACGGATGTACAGGAATCTTCGCCATGTCATAATTGACTTCAAACTAGTAGTACGCGCTCCAGGAAAAAATAGTTGCTTCCTCGTCGTCCACCCAGTAATTTCTCATCTCACCCTTGTCGAACAGAGTCATGTACCAGAGGATCCCATCCGGATGTGTAAATAGCCCTGACGGTTTGCCAAGCGGTGCTGTGGGTGAAAATGTCATTGACGCTATCTCTTCGACTTCACCAGGGCACAAAGGGCGCTGCAATTCTTTCCGCCCGCGAAACGCAAACCACTCACGATAACAACGCTCGTCCATCTCCTCAAATTCATCTGTCAGTGCAGGAATGTTTGATAGTTTGGGGACCATGTTGCACAGGGACGTCCAAGACTCTCCAAATTGAAGTTTGTCTTTTTCCATGTTGGCAAACTGGCGGATACCACGGGTGATGATGGCTTCGGAAACATGGTGAACGTGATATTTTATTTGAAAAGCAGTACACGTCCATTGAACCTGAAATTTGTCG